GAAAAACACCTGGAAAGTAAACCAAGGAATATGTGACTTCTCTCACAGCAAAGAAAACTCATGCCATTTTTTTACATGTATAAAAGATAACATCAGTTGAGATGAAAGAAAAAAAAAATGACCATAACCAAGTTCCCCTAAAGCAACTCCATTCTTTCAGTTACGCCACCCGTCACCAGTGGACACAGCTCAAGACCAACTCACCAGCATTCCCCTGACCACCAGCATTCTCATTTCATCCCCTGGAGGACTTGGCTTTTCCATCCTGCTCCCTGTGCCTAAATTCAGCCCTGAGCTGCTCCTCGCACCCTGCCCTCAGCTGCAAACCTCAAGCCACCCTCAAAGGACAGCTATGGCCTCCATCTCATCCAGACCCATCTGCAGCCTGATTCCTGTCACTGACTCACCAGTAAAAGGCTGTGCAGCCTCTGCTCCAGCATCACCAGCAAAGAAAGCTCAGTGCTGCCCAGATCAGCTTGGGGACTGGGGGGTCAGGGGGTATAGTTAACAGTTGATTCTGCTTCCAGCTGGGTCTTGCTGAAAACCCAACGCTTTTTTGTTACTCTTTCCTATTCGAGCCTCATCCTTTACAACCTCATCCAAGAACTCACTGTTTCTCCAAGGTTTGGACAAGGGAGCTCAGCTTCCCTGTTAGCTAGCTACGTGGCCACCCTTTTGGCTGCTCTTTGCATCACTAAGCCATGCAGTCAGCAGAGACTTGCCACTCAGGGCTGATGCTGCACGCCGCTCTCAGGCCCAACTCCCCCTGCCGGGCAGCTGCAAACTCTGCTGCTCTGTCCACCCACCTCAGCCTTCTCTAACCACCTTGAGGTTGCACCAGCAAGAATTTGCCCTCAATGCCTCTCTGCCAGGATCTGTCTTGCTTGACGCCTCTGTCCTTCACTCAGCAACGACTGTAGTCCATCCTCTGGGTGTTCTATGAATCTCTCGCCAAGTAATTCATCTACACAAAATTAAATGCCTTCACTGCCTGCTACTGCTACCCTCTATCCCAGTAAGTTGGTCCCTCCTCCTGAATTTGAACCTCAGCTGGTGTCACCTACCACCACTGTGCAGGAAACCTCAGCTAGAACCCTGGGGATTCATTCTTGAGTCCTCCCTCTCCCTTACCCCAAAATCCTTACTCTGACTCTAGGTCTTAAAATTTTTCTTAAGCATTACTTGAACTGGATTCCCCCATTTTTAACAACTACTTTCCTTGATGAAGCCTACATCACCTGCACCAGAGAGTTCTTCTGATCTCCTTACTTTTGAATATCCCCTGAAAATCATTCTCTATACAGCTGTCACAAATCTGACCATGCTAGTTTCACTGGTTCTATACATGTCATAAGGCTGGGCAGTTAAGAATCACATAATGACTGTGTGACCTTGAGCAAGTCACTCTATTCCCCTTTGCCTTCATGTTTTTTGTCATGGAATGAGCACGGCACAGAAGGCAGTTGTCAGGACTGAGCAATCCATGCAAAGTGCTTGGCATAGTGCCTGCAGCATAGGACGCCTCAAATAATGTCACTGGAGGTACTGTGACAATGATTATTCCCAACCTGTAGTCCATGGAGGTCCATGGATGAGCTTCCAGGGGTCTATGAAGTCCCTGAAACTGTATGAAAATTTTGGTTTGCATGTTTATTTTTCTGGGGGAAAGGGTCCAGAGCTCTTATCAGAGACTTTAACTTTGAGCCACTGCACCCCGAGCCCTGAAAGCCTCTCGGGGACACATGAGGCATCCTGCCCCACAGGACCTTCAGTCTTCTTTCCTCCCTTGAGCCCACTCCTCTCATCTTCTCCTTCCCCACGAATGAGAGGCAGAGCCATCCTTTATGTTGATCTGGTTCCTCTTCACCTACACCCCGGTCCCTGGAAGCCCAGTTCTCTTCTGCCTTCCATCCACATCCACGCACAGAGCACCCTACATGGGCCGCTTCCACGTCTATTCCCCCGAGCCCTCTGCTGGAGGAGCTCCTATGCCAGAGGAGCAAAGAATCTCAGTGCACTGCAGACCACGGTCTGGCCTTTGGACACGCTCTCCTGCCGCTTCTGTTCCTTCACATCACCCTCTTCCCACAAGTTCCAGTCTGGCACACAGAAACATGGAGGCACTCTCCAGCTATCATTGCAAGGCTCACCAGCTTCCCGTCTCAGTTTCTTCAATTTGAAACTACCAGAGGAAGAGCTGAAGGACTCACAGCTCACCTGGGGCCAGGCTGTCAAGAGCATGGCTGCCATCACCTGGTCTCTCTCTCAGAGAAGGGCTGGAGCTGAGGAAAAACACAGAGACAAGTGTGAAGCAAGACACTCCTACCAGGAACAATACAGCCCCTCACAGAAGATCTAAGATGCAGGTAGCCTATGACCAGATAGGGAGTGCAAGCAGGGGTTACTGTAGGAAAAAGGGGGTGATCTGCTCTGTTCAGTGCCAGGACTCCTCCCAGTCACGACACTGATGCTCACTACCAGGAACTCTAGGATTTTACAATTCTGACACACATCATACACACACGAGTGAACATAAAATGTACACAGAGCATAAATAATAATAAAACAAAGACTCAGTGATCAGCTCAAGAGGCAGAACATTACCAAGATCTTTGAAGTATTTCTTTCTCTAACCCAGTACCATCCTTGACTACACTGCAAGAGAAGACAGGCTGGAGAAGCTGCAGCCCCAGCTCAGAGGCCTCAGAGTCAGTGAGCTCAGGGAGGTAGCAATTGGAGAAGGGGATAGTTGCTCCCCAAAAGCCTGCCTGTTCCCTCACACAGCTGAGTGTTCTCAAGAGTCCTAATGTCTCTATAGAGACCTTGGGAGGTCAGCCTTCCGCATGGCTCAGACTTACCTCAAGGAAGCTGGGCTGCAAATGAGGTACTAGGCTGCCTCCTCCAACTTTCCAACCTCCTGAGAGCAAAGAAGCTAAGGCCTCAGCTTCCTGAGGGGATCACTTCGGCATGTAGGGCCCCGTGGCCCAGCGCCTCTTGTTCACATTCAAAAACACACCGACTGGTGGTTTTCTGATTTTCATTGCTTCTAAAGTCAGTCTTAAAAATTTACTTTCTTAAACTTCATCTATGTCTTCCAGGATTTCAACTTTAGTGCAGCTGTAGAAAATACTCTTCGTTTCCTCCGTATGGGAGGGGATCACTTCGGCATGTAGGGCCCCGTGGCCCAGCGCCTCTTGTTCACATTCAAAAACACACCGACTGGTGGTTTTCTGATTTTCATTGCTTCTAAAGTCAGTCTTAAAAATTTACTTTCTTAAACTTCATCTATGTCTTCCAGGATTTCAACTTTAGTGCAGCTGTAGAAAATACTCTTCGTTTCCTCCGTATCTAGAGCTACTTTGCTTTTCCCACTTCTTCTTTTGAACATATGTGCTCTTTTCCCCTTGGTTAGTGTTATGGACTATGTTCCCTTCAAATTCATATGCTAAAGCCCTAACCCCCCATGTGACTATATTTGGAGATAAGACCTATAGAGGTAACAGGTTAAATGAAGTCATAAGGGTGGGAATAGGGCCAGTGTACTTTAGAAGAAAAGGAAGAGACGCCAGAGCTCTCCATCTCTGCCATGTGAGGACACAGTGATAAGGCAGCTGCCTGCAACTCCAGAAGAGAGCCTTGGCCCAGAGCGAAATCGGCCAACACCTCGATCTCGGACTTCCAGTCCCCAGAACTGTGGGAAATAAGTTTCTGTTGTTTAAGCCACCCAGTCTGTGGTATTTTGTTATGATATCCCAAATAGACTATTATAATAAAGTATGGCTGAGCAGTGGTTTATCTATTTTAATGTTGTTTTATTTTCAAACAACCAGTTTTATTTAGAATAGTTTTTTTTCTATTTGTTTTTAATTCATTAAGTTCTGATTTCTTAGTTTGTCTCTTTAGCTCTGTGAGAGACATCTTACACACCAACCCTCATCTCACTTAGTCCAGTTCCAGAAGCTTTGATCAGCTTTGCATAGGTGCAACCTCTGCAAGAATCTACACCAGATGCCTGGCTCCTGCTGTAGGGCTTCTCTGGTGTCCTGTGTAGGACACATGCAGACACCTGTGGACACCTGCTGGACCCTGAAGAGCAGGAGAGTTGATGCCTGTGGTGCCACCCCTGACCAACCAGGGGACAGAGGTCAGTGGAAAAATGTTTTCCCCTGTAATCCCCCAGATGAGATTCCAAGGCTCCTCCAAGATCCTTCAAGATAGAGCACCATGCAGAAGGTGCTTGACTGCAGAAGGGCCAGACTGACAAGCGTCCTGTACTGGCTCCCCTTCCTTCTCTGTCTCACCCCCCTTCTATTTCACTCTGTCCCTGGGACTAATTTATTCCCAAATAAATTACCTGCACACAAACCTTTGTCCTATGTTCTGCTTTTGGAGGAAGCTAGACAATAAAAGGCTTTTTCCTACCTTCTTAAGGTTGCATGATTTATTCATTTATTTTCATACTTTCCTATCTGGCAATTAAACCTAGAAGGCCAGAAATTTTCCTTTAAATACACTATTAGCCACATTGCAGAAGTTTTTGTTTGTTTGTTTGTTTTTTAATAGTTCATGTTTTAACTATCTTATAGCTAGCTAGTCAGCAACTGTCTTTTGTCTCTGACCAAAGAATTGTTTAGGATAGTACGTTGTTAATTTCTTCTCTATTTAGAATTTATGGCTTTACTGACTGGTAGTTAAACAGCCTGATCTATTTACTTCTGCTTTCTAGACTTTTGAGGGTTTTTTAAGGCTGCAGTATTCATTTAAAAAATAGTCTATGGATATTTAAAAACTTATTCTATGACGGAAGCACATATAATTCTATTTGAATCTAATAAATCAACTCAGCCAATTTTATTACATAGATTTTTCTCTGTAATCCATGATTAATTTTACCTCATTAAGCTGAGATAGCCAGTAAAAAGGGAACTCTCACAAAACATTGAGCTCATAGGCTTCATGAGCAAATCTTTTCAAACCTTTTAGAAATGAATAATCCCAACACTATTTAAACTGTAGCAGAGAACAGCAAAATAAGATTCCCAGTCCTCGCGATGATGCCAGTGTTAGATGGGACAAGGGTCTCAAGGTCTGGGCGGTTCTTACTAAATGCTATTCTTGCCTGTTGTTAAGATGTACCACAGTATTTTGCAGATGCAGCTGTAACTGGATGAGCTTGACAAGGGAACCCATCTGGATAAGTTTAGCCAACTGCAAAGAAAAATATCAACACATAATTGACCAAACTGTATATAAGCAAGGGCTAACCCTCCCTTCCAGGAGACAACACTTTGGATGTAAATCCCCCGTCTCCTTTACTTGCTGCAGGTAAATGAAACTACCTAACCACCACCACATCTCATTTTTGAATAAAACACCCCGAGCAGCAGACCTCTTGTGGACCTCATGCATTCATAACAGCACCACAATACTGATACAAAAACCACAGGCCAGTCTCATTTATGAACACTGATGGAAAAATCCCAATTAGGAATGGACTCCAGTAGTCCATTCAGGCGACATACCATGACTAAGAGGGATCATCCCATGAATGCAAGTAAAGCTTAATGTTAGGACACAAATTAGTATACTTTTCCACATAAATAAATCAAAGAGAGATAAACATACTCCCCATCTCAACAGATGCCAAAGGCGTTTGTTAAAATTTGACATTCATGCCTAAATTTAAACATTTATACCCTAGAGAAACTCTATGTAGGAGATATGTACAAAGTCAATCATTATCAGCAGTACTTTAATAGCCAAAAACCAGAAACAACTCACATGTTCACTGAGAATATACATAAGCTGTCATACAGTTTTTACAATGGAACATTCCCAGCAGCAAAAATGAATGACTCAAAGCTACACGTAACATGGATAAATTTAGGAACATAATATTGAGTGATGCAAGTCCCAGATAACTATAGACATAAAGCTCAAAAACAAACACATTGTTTATAGATACAAGTATATGTGATATTACTTTTAAAAATAGCTAAATTAACACGAAATTCAAGACAGTTGTTACCTGTAGGGGTGGGAAGCTTGGAGCTGAGCTGGGGAGGAACACACAGACAGCTGCAGCCGTCCCACGTTCTCCTTAATGAGGTGGTGTGTTCATCGGTTCTAATTTTACTGCTATGCGTCTTACCTGCCACGCTAGATGCAGTCTTCTGTATGTGTGAATGACATTTTAAAAATATGTATTTATCTCTATGATATGGAGTGATTTCCAGAGTATACTGTTAAATTAAAAAAAGCTAAGTGCAAAAGGTAGTGTGCTACCTTTGTGTAAGAAAACATGGGAATATAAGAAAATATATGTGTATCTGGTCATTTGTTCAAAAACAAACAGAAGGATAAAGCAGCAACTAAGGAGAATGGATGCCTCATGTGTGGGTGGGGAAGTGGGTGAAAGGAACCCAGGAATGTAAATAGGATGGAAGGAAACCCAGGAAAAGAGGGAAGCGGGGAGTGACACTTCTGAGTGTGCCTTTCACTCTGACTTTCATAATCACAGTAATGTTTCATGTATCCAAGTAAATATATGTAAGTACATATAAAATCAACCAACCAGGATGGGATGGGGGCGATGACCCAATAAGGAATACAAACAACTGCAAATGTTACAATTTAGTAACACAACCACACTGAAGTGGTGGGAAAGAAAATAACTATGTAACTGGAAAACAGTATTTTAACATGCTTCTCTCTAAAACTACAAGGCTATAAAGACCTGTAACCAAATGCTGTCCTTTAGTTAGTGATAATGGAAAAAAAAATAAAATGGAATAAACATTAAGAGTCACTTAAAATAGAGTCAGGCAGCAATTTAGGAAGTGGGGCCTATGCACATCTTGTGCCTCAGTTCTCAGAGCTGCTATTAGGTTGCTAAGCTGTTGCTAAACTGAGCTCAAAGCCAAGCCAGGAACATCCTAGAACTGTTACATGGGCAGATATGGACCTTATTTCCTTCCTTAGTAGTTTTCACTTCCCTCCTTCGCATACTGGAATTAACCACTCCATGTTAACTTAACCAGCCATCCCTCAATTGCATACATTATATTTTGTAGTTTTCGTCTTTATAAACCCTGCCTTTCTTTGTTCTCTCCAGAGTTCAATTTGGGTTGTTAACTGAATACGCAGCTCTCTTGGATTCAAATCCTTTAAGATCCCAAATAAACTTGTCTTAGAGCCTCAGATCTTTATTGGTCGACATTAGTAACCTTGCTTTTCACGAAGGTATGAATTAGCAATCGGAATTACCGTATGTGTATTCTAGAACTGCGTAAATCAGTAAGTCTATTGTAGATATCACTCCTGGGTCACTGTCATCCCACAGCCGGAGAGTAGGGCCCAGTTACCTTTTGGAACTGACACCGCTGCAGAAGACAAAGCCGGGCTTCTTTTCCTCTCAGGTGGATGGGAGGGGCTCTGCCTTTTCTGCTCTCCCACTGGTCCGATTCACGACCCTGCGTCAGAAGCCAGGGGTCATACAAGCAAACTATGCTCGGTAAAAGCCCTTGCACAACCTCAACATATCAAAAGACTCGTGATATCACCTCATTCCACCCTCTGGCTGCTTCGGTTCACCTTTCCACGAGGCTAGTAACGTCTTCCCCGAACAAAGTGTTCGGGGCTTCGTGCCTGTGACAGTAACACAGGCTTTGCTTTCCACGGGCCAGACATATTGGGCCACCAAGTCCAAAGTGGGAGTCGAGGCGGGACCGCTGCCTTGCTCCCTCCACCGGGCGAGGGAGTCCCAGCTGCACCCCGGGTGAAGGTGCATCCCTAAGGCGCCCAGAGCCTCGAGGCCAGGGCACCGCCCCGCCTCCCGCAGCCCCACACTCACCTCCGCAGCAACCTGCCCCGCGGCGCGACCGGAAGTGCGTCACGAGGCCCTGGCCGAGCCTTTCTAGAAGCGGCTTCTCTCCCTCTCGGTGGTGCCCTGGCCCCGCCCCCTGCGGCCAAAACCCCAGTGCCCGGGAGCTTCGCGCCCTTTGTGCCTCTCCTAGATCGGTGGCAGTTGTTCCTCTAGGTCGGCTGAAGCAGGCGAGAATCAGACGCGCGCGCAGCATTCAACCCGGGAGAGCGCCAGGGACCTGTATTTCAGTAAAGCTGCCGGTGCAGCCAGATTTGGGAGTCTCCGTACGGGATCGCTAAACAGACGCTGTCAGACCCAAGGCCACCCTTTTATAACAAACATTTCCTAGCGACCGCTTTATTCTCCTGTCTTGAAATTCAGAGATATTAGTCATAAATAATATATACAACCTACATTTAAAAAACTATTATGTCTCAAGTGTAATAAAGGAGAAATAAGAGGAAAATAACTTGTAATTAAAAATATTTCAATATGTAAATGTTTGGTAATGGCTGCTGCATGAGACTTAATGAAGCGATCACACATTTGCCTTCTTACGTAGGCTGTGCCTGCTTGCCGCAGCCACAATGCTAAGTCACCGGTGTCTCAAAAAATCACAAGGTGAGATCCAAAATTGAGAGCACTTTTTGGTAAAGTTTAAATGAAATACGGTACAATCCTGTCTTGATCATGCAATAGTTATATTCTTGGAGAATCAGCATATGTTAAAACTGCAAAAGTACATTGCGTTTATCTGAAAAACAAGTTCTAGGTTCAGGTAATTTATAAAGTTTTTGATGTTCAGGAAGACATTAAAGTCTGAAAACTTTTTCAATAGGCAGAACCTTTCCTTGCATTGCAGGACCTGTGTCACTCCTGGCTCCTATCCACCACCACCAAACTCTGTAACGAAAATACTCCCATAAAATTCCAAAATCGGCCCTTGGGGGAAGGTGAATGGTACTAAAAGCCACTGGATTGGACCACCCTTAAGAGTCCCTCCCAATTCTGACTGTGTTGGCCTTTCTTCTCCAGGACTGATCGCTCCCAGTGCTGCAGCCTGAGGGATCAGACCACTCACCCCTCCAGCCTCCTAGCACTCCCATTCTCCCCTCTCAACTTCAGCTCCACCACTGAACATGCTGTTCTCTAAACCTAGAATGCCCTTCCCTTCCCATTCCCACCCCTTCTTGACTGTTATTTGGTCTCAGCTCACGTCAATTCCCTTGGAAAGCAAGACTTCCCTGACCACCCGAAATAAGGCAAGACTAAGACTCCCCATTAGTGCTTATTTAATGGTGATAGTTAAAATGTCTTCTCTGGTCACTCCAGGGAACAGGGACTATATATACGTTGTTCAACATCATTATCCTCAGCTAAAGCACAAGGCCTGGCATAAAAGAGACATGCAATAAACAGCTGTTGCTGACATAGTCCAACATCTCCAGCCCCAACTCCAGGGTAGAACCCTTTCATTTCTGTGCCACTGGAGGTAGGATATATCTTATGCCTGGGATTACTGACCATTGCCAGAGCCCTTCTCTGCTTTGCCCTGAACCTGATCAGCACTGTTTCCCAAAATCAGCACTTACATGGCTTCTCTCTTAAGACAGGAAAATGGTCTCAGGATTAGGCAGAGATAGTTGGAGATTACATTGCTCTTGGCAGTAAGTGCTGTTTCCACTTCTCCCAAAGCTCAGAAAGCACACCTTTAACTAGGAATGAAGGTTTATCTAAAGAAATAGAAGTTAGGAGAGCAGTGTCATAGAAATGCTGACCCCAAATATTGGATCGTAAACTAGTTCCCTAATTTTACAGGTAAAAAATAAGGCCTCCTAAATAACCATGAAGCTCCTACTCTTTAAAAGAGTGCTTAGATAGGCATGCACCAAGTTTCAAAAGCTCTAGAAAGTGCCTGCAGAAACAGAGACCCCTCATTGTCTGTCCACCTCCATTCTTCTCTTCTTATACGGTAACAGAATCTCTAGCAAGCCAGATAGTCCAGAAAAAATAACAGGCTTCCAGGTCCCTTTTAAAGCAAAGTGTGGCTATGTGACCAACTTCTGGCAAATAGGCTGTAAGAAAAAGTGATGCCACGCCCTTAAAGAGAAAGGACATGCCCTCCCTGGCCCAGTACTCAATCAACTACATGGAATACTAACAAGGGGGTGAGCATCTTGGACCATGTGGATGATGATGTGGCCCCTGGGAATGGCAGAGCAGCTAGTAGTCATTGAGCTGTTATCTAGATTGCTTACCTTAGATGATAGTGAACAAGAAATAAGCTTTCAGCATGCTTAAACTGATTGATTTGGGTTCTTCAGATTAATATCCAAGACCATATCCTAACATCCCTAGGAATGAGAAATGGAAAAATCACGTACTTAAAAATTTAGGCTGGTTCACATATTTCAGGGTCTGGAAGTCCATCTCCATGCTGGGCCTGCAGCCACATTTCCTCCTGCTCAGCTCTAAGGTTTCTTCTCCTTCATCCTCTGTCCCTAATTCTAGGGCCTCCCTAAAGCTCTTCCTGCCCAACAGAGAAAACTGACCAATCTTCTCACATTAAAAATCTTTTCTGGTGTTTCCAGTTTGAATATGACAGAGTAAAAACTGTTGTACCTGCTTCCCCTCTTGAAAATTGTGGGAAAACAGTTAGGTCTCATTGGGGCTCATTCAAGGAACTCAAGGATGTTTCAATATTATAAAATATTCCTTTACTTATTGATATTGTGAATTAAATTAACAGTCACTCAACCTATTGTGTAGAGATATATACTAGGGTAAGGAGAGATCCTACAAAAGTAACAAAGGAACAAAAATATTTAAGAATAAACTTAATAATAAATGTTTAAAATGTAGACAAAAATTTGAAGACTCTGAGACAACAAAAATACTTGTATAAGTGGAAAGGAACAGGTATGAAGGGTATTCATCTGGATTTAATCTGTAAGTCCAATTTCAAATAATTTTGAAAAAGGAGAATAAAGTGGGAGGAATTGGTCTACCCAAATAAAACATCAATAGTACTTGTTTTGGAACTTGTGAAAATGATTCTAATACAGGAAAAAAATATTATATATATTTATAAGTGACTACTGAAATATAAGAATGCAAAAGAATTGGAAGTTAAAGACTGGGAAGAAAAATATGCCAGACAAGCATTAAGCTAAAGGAAAAATGGTATGGCTATATTAATATGTTATAGCAAGAATTTTAAGATAAAAAATATTATTAGGCAGGATCCCATTTCAGGCAATGCAGTGATTGAAATAAACAATTATCTAGAAATTTAGGATATAATTTACATCATTTTATATATTTGGCTCACAGGAAAGTTTATCCAGGTATCAAAAAATGAACAAAAAACTAAGACTAGAGAGGTTAGCTGAGCTGATGCTTTGGCCGACATGAGTGGGGATGATAAAAATTTGAAGATCTTGATATGTGAGGAGATTGAATTATAATATTTAGGAGGCCTGATCAAAGCAAGAAGACTGGGACTTCAAACATACACAAATGTCTGGATCCGTGAAAGGATAAAGTAGGAAAATAAAATCTTCCCACTAACAAAGACAGATAAAAAAGGTAATGGTCCTTGCCTACGTTTTGGAGTGGTATGGGATGCCCCCCTAATTTATAATCACAATCTCTATCACTGAGTAGTTCGAAAGTAATACTACTCACTTGGACCAGCAACTCATAATCTATTAAATTAAAAACTGATCCTGGTAAATTTCCAAAAGTCACTACAGAATTGGGAAACGGTCTGTCTCAACTTACGCTTTCCCTCACTATTGCCTATTCCCTATCTACCTCCCTTTCGGTGCAGTCAGGCACAGCCTCCCCTCAGCTTGACCCTGATATTCTCCTCTACCTTTATGGAGCTAATTAACCTTCTCAAACAATTCCATTCTGTTACTGAGACAGTATTACAGACCTTGTCACTAATCTCTAAAGGGCAATACTGTAATGGCTAGAACATGGGCTCTGAAACCAGACTGCCTATGTTTGAATGCCTAGTCTGCTACTTCCCGTGTTTTTGGGTTACCCATTTCCTAACTGTAACAATGAGCTCATTACAGCGCCTACTTCATAAAGTTGTATTAAAGGTATGAGTGATTAGAAAAGTGTCCAGCACATGGTGAGTACTAACACATGAAACTACATCTCTGACCCTGTTTACTCTTACCATTTTTTTTTTAGTGACTTTTACATTTCCTGGTCTCAAAATGATCCCCCTAGAAATAACTCAAATGTCTACCAACAGCAGGCAATAAATTATGGTATACTCATGTAATGGAATACCACACAGCAATGGGAATGAACCTCTACCACTGATTCCATTTACATAAAAATGTGCAGTGACAGAAGTCAAAATAGAGGTTACCTTGAGAAAAAGTAATGACTGGAATAGGGTACAGGAGACTTATAGGGTGCCTGTATGTTCTGTTTCCTGATCTTTGTGATTATAAGGCTACATTCTTTGTAAAAAAAAAAAAAAAAATTCAAGTTCTACAACTATGACCTGTGCATTTTTGTCTATTATACTTCAATTTTTAATAAGGTTTACTTAGAAAGTGATACCCCAGGCTATTACTCACTGGTCAATTCAAGCATTTGATACAACTGCTCATCCAACTGCTGGCAAGTAAGGAAGAGGTGGTAAAGCCACCCACGTGCTGGACTTCAAGGAGCAGGTAAAGTCTGGAATTAGGCAGGGTGACTGCCAAGCTGGTTGGTAGCAGAAGGGCACATGGGAGAAAAGAGGGTGCAGGTTACATTCTTTGTCCAAAGAAAAGGGTCAGCTCTTGGTTCTCCTACTGAGACTCCGCAGCACTCTTTCTCAGGACTGAGAACCAGAGTATTTCCCCGGTCTTAATCAGATCAAAGAGTAGGTGGGCACACTATTCTAGGCGAACTGGTAAACGCCAAGCTGGAAAAGCTACGATAGCCTGGAATTATCAGTTTAATGCCTAGAATAGCATCCATTCCAAATAAAAACTGAGTAAAAATGAAAACTCAAGTGATGGCTTTTGTTTTTACAGCTAAGACTTTTCTTGGGAATGGATTCACTGATAGTTTCATAGCAACACTAAAACACTTGTCACAGAGCTTAAGTTATTAGAACTTCTATCCACTGGTGTCCTGGTGTAGCTTGGGCTCTCAAGTGCTCCAATGGGTTTCCCATTCTTGCTGCAATCACAGAGGCTTCTGGGACTTTAGCTGAAGACTTTCCTACACATCATACATACAAAACTTTTCTTCATCGGTTTGTTATTCCTGAAGACTTTTTAAAAATAACTGTTACACTGATAAGGCTCTGTTCCAAGGAAGGAAAACCTAATTCAAACTTGCCTGAGCAAAAAAAAAAAAACAAAAAAAACAAAGCAAAAACAAAAATGGAATTTATTGGTTACTGGAATTCAAAAACCAAGATTCATCTCCAGCTTCAGATATGATTTAATATAGTTATTCAAACAGAACTATCAAATTGACTGCTCTCCAACTTTTGCTTCTCTTTTGCTGTGTTGGCTTTATTCTCAGCCTCCACAGGAATCCAGGAGATCCTCTCAGCAGTGAGACTAAGGAAAAAAGACGAGTATTTCGAAAAAAGAAGAGTATTTCTTCCTGTTAACTCAGGCCACATCCTGGGACTCTAACTGACCATCTTGGGTCACCTACTGACATCTGAACCAACAGCTATGGCTTAGAGGAAGGAATCTGCAGTGGAGCCAGGCCTGTGTCACACATTCCACTCCTGAGTAGAAGATGGAATCCAAAAGGAAATTCAGTGTACGATTACCAGTAAAAGGGGGTAAAAAACTCTGGGAGACCGAAACGACAAATGTCCAGCACAGGTTTCTCTCCAGGGTAGACATGCTCATGATCACCCAGCTGGGAGGAAGTCCTAAAAGTTTCTTCATACTTGACACACTCAGAGGGTTTCTCTCTAATGTGGGTTCCTTGGTGCTGAAGAAGATTTCTTTTGCTAGTCAAGACTTTTCCACACTCACCACATACATAGGAAGACTCCTGGATATGAGTCCTTAGATGCCTTTTTAATTGTTCCTGAGCACTAAAGGCTTTCCCGCAATCGACACAGTAAAAGGGTTTCTTCTCGCTGTGGACCCTCTGGTGACGAGTTAGTTTTGTATGAAAATTGAAGGCTTGCCCACATATTTTACAAGAATAAGGCTTTTCCCCTGTGTGAATACGCTGATGTTGGCTAAGATGAGAAGTCCTTCTGAAGCTTTTGCCGCACTCTTTACATTCGTAGGGTTTCTCTTCACTGTGGACTTTCTGATGTCGAAGTAGTGGTGAATTACCAAAAAAAACTTTTTCACACTCATTGCATGCGTAAGGTTTCTCCCTAGTGTGGATTCTCTGATGCATAACGAACTCAGAACTACTGGCGAAACCATTTCCACACTCCTTGCAGTGATAAGGTCTGTCCCCATTGTGGATTCTCTGATGCCTGATCAGATTTGCATTATCATTAAAGGCTCTCCCACACTCCTCACACAGATAGGGTTTCTCTCCAGTGTGGATTCTCTGATGCCGAATCAATGAAGAATTGCCATTAAAGGCTTTTCCACACTCATTACACTCAAAGGGTTTCTCCCCAGTGTGAATTCTCTGGTGTCTAACATAGTAAGAATAATAGCTGAAGCATTTCCCACACTCCTCACATCTGAAGGGTTTCCTATCCCAGTGAATTCTTGGAAACTTTCCTCTAACATTTTTCTCTGTGGAAATTTCCTGGTGCTTCTCCAGTTTACATGTTTCTAGGAAGTTGGTTCTCTGAAGAATACTCTTCTGCAGACCACATGACAACATCACATCTCGATCTTCAGAAACTCCCTGTGTTGATGTGGACTCACTGTCAGTGTTGGTCTCAGCATCTGACATAACAACAGAAAACAGAAGAGCCACTGAGAATTATACTAGGAACAAAAGAGCATCAAATATTACAGGGCTTTTAGAGATTACTATTTCAACCTCCACATTGGCCTGCTAAGACAAGGCTATTAAAATGAAAAGTGCCAAACATCACAGAGAACAATTGAAGTGGAACAGGGTATTGGTGTATACATCATACATCAGATTGCTTCCTCAGCTTTTCTAGACTCTACATTTGAATGACTTCTCCCTAGTACGTTCTGGTATCTTTGAACCTTATGGTACTTATAGGCCTACAAAGTACCAAGGGAAGTAGAGGCTCTAAGAGCAAGTGATGACATTAGAGCTGGCAAGACTCAGAGTCAGAAAGTAGAACTGAAGAATCAGAATGCAAAGTAAATGAATGAACTGTTGTTCTTTTTAAAAATTTATACCCTGTAGATTTCCCAAAAGACTGGTGACACTGAGCATTAAGGGTTCTGGGCTGTGGCAGAAAGAAAGAAAGAAAAAAAAAAGCACAGGCATGCTTAGAGGACATTTCCCCCACAGGTCCTTAACTGAAGGTCCACAGATGAAGAGAGAATGCCATAAAACTGTTGGCAACTGCTGTCTTGTAATCAGACTCTCAAAAAAGTCTGAACCTCAAACATGCAGAAACTAATGTCCTAGAATCTCTGTCTATTTGGAAAGGGTAGAACACAGTTTACTCGAATACACTAAGAATGTCAACTACTCCTTCTCTTAGCAAAAAGGAGACAGCTACCTGTAAAATGGCATTTGTGATCCTAAAGACTGAATGACATTTTATATAAGTTAAAGTCAATCTATTTTATACAAAATGTTTGACTAATTTTGTTTTAACATTCATTTGTATTATCTGGGACTCATCTGCTGGTTTATCAAATTTATCCTTTGTGTTGAGTTAAACAAGCAAGGACCTCCAGGAAGACAAATCTGAAATTAGAGTAAACAGGGTAATCAATAGTGTGAAAAAGTGTAAGCAAAGACAATGATGAGCCTGGTGGTCTGTTTTCACACCCTGCCTCTTTCTTGCTCAATGTTATAAAATCAGGACTGAGCAAGCAATGACCAAACACTCTTATCTTCCCGCTGCCCCATACTCTGCCATTCATCCTTAACAGGATTCCCACAGTTCTTCCAAGTAACCCCGACCTTCCTAGTTCTCTAGGGAACATCGTTAAGCTGCCCAAGCTGCCCAGATGCAAGTCCCTCAACTTCCTTCACTTCCATTTCCACCTCCTCGTATCTCAAGCCCCTGTCTCAAGCCTCGTACTTCCCAATCATCCCCGATGCCATTCCCTCCCTTCCTCTGATATACTGCTCAATCAGCTATATCGTCCCTTTTCTTCTTCATCTCCTTCTACCTATTAGATGTGAAACTGACAGAATGTTTAACCATCAAACAATTAAAAAACTGAAAAACACTAGTCTATATTAGAACAGAACAGAATAGAATTCACGTGCGTTGTAATGCCAAGCGTAAACTCTTTCGTGATACTCCAGTTTCAGAGTACATATGAGTATACAGGGGTTTGATGCAAAATGTAGTAACTACTGAGGTGCATGACCAAAGAAAGTTTGAAAAACATTTGCTACCATTTACTATATTTTCTTTCATTTCTAAACTAATCAAAATAAGGGGCTAAAGTGCTGTCTCATTTTATCATCTTCCATTTACTCCCTCTCTGCAAAACATGAAACTCCTATCCTCGGCTTCAGTTCCCCTCCTGGTGACCTTCTGCTGTCTACTTTCCCTTCCCTTTCTCACTAAAATGAAATATTCCTTAATATTTAAGATTCAGCCCTCTTTTTTGTTCTCTAGGGGTCATTTCAACTAAAACTCTGCAGAGTACACTTTGTCTATACTTGTAGACCTGACATTTATCACAGACTCAACACTTGCCTTCTCGATGGTCTGTTCTAGCCATCCACTTACATATTATCCTAAAGATACCTCAGTCTCCATGCTCAGATCTGAATCCATGTGAATTCGAAAAGCTCCTCCTATGACATGACTTCCCAATGTTATCTGACGCGACCCTTCCCTTTTATGGCACACATTCCTTCCTCTTTTTGACATTACCTCTATCCCCTAGAGTTAATGCTTGATATATAATAATAGCATAACAGAATTTTTATGTCTTCAACTTCCTTCATACCAATGAAACCACATTCTATGTTGAGCTAATATTTCTAAAATAGCAATCACAGGCCTATATCACTAGTGGCGAGGTCACTGTGGCAGGGGTCATTGCTCCTGCTCCACATTCTCTTTTGCCTGATCTCTCATTTCCTGTCTCCATCCTGTAAGTTCTATAGAACAGAACCCTCAGGTCCACCATAAAGCCTGCAATCTAGATATGCCACACAATGCTGGGTGGGTAAGACACACCAACGACATTCATTTGCATCAATGGCTAAGAAAAGAGGGGCAGCCCTGGATTCTAGGAAGTCTTGCTGAGACTTTGAGTCCTAAGCCTCAAGCTCTTGCACTACTTACTAGAAAAAAACAGAAGAATATTCGCAGGTGTGCTCCAACCGAAATACCCATTTAAAATATGCTCCCCTGGTGATTCTCTTGTACATTAAACTGCAAAGTTCTTTGCAATGATTTTTTGAATCTTCTATTCCCTTCCTCAGGCCAGATAATCTACCGTCTTTTTCTCCACATCATATCCACCGTCATCTGTAATGGTCTACCCCTGAAGGAGTGTTATTTGAGCTTCTAAATGGGAATTCCTCTAACCCCTACTTCTGCTGGTATATAAACAGCCCACTGCTTATATACCAACGGTAGCTCTTAACGTATTTTTTTTTTTTAGCTCTTTGCATCTGTCTCCATAACTTGTATCCTCCAGAGTTTCTTAAACAAAGCTTGGCACACAGCAAGTGCTGAAAAACAGCTTCTGAATAAATCCATCTTGTCCAAGGAAGGAGGGCCACTTAGGTACGCAATGCTGACACTCAAAAAAGAGCAATGGATCCAAGAACTGCATATGAGATGTACGAAGTGGAAATATGTCATCTTGATAAGAGTTAAAACTGGTGGGAAAGGTTTCATATTTTACCTCTTAGGATAAATCATCTGTTTTATTTAAATCCTTCCCAGCATTTAAAAATACACTGCTCTGTAAAGCTCTACAGTTGCCAGTTACCTGCCTCACCTACCTTTACAGAAGTCTGTGGTCCTCTCTGCAGATGGGTCACTCTGTGCCTCCAGGCCCCAAGGCAAGTCCCCTCCCTCCAGAAGTGATATCAGGGCAGGTTTGGGAACTGGATATCCTGAAAAGGAGGGAGAAAATGGCACCTTCAGCCTGTGTCTGCTGTAGTAAAAGAAGGAAAATCCCAGAGCCTCAGTAAAAATAAGATCCTCAGAAAAGGGCTCAATCAAAAGATTTCAATCAAAAAAACTGAGCATTTGTGACCTCCTCCTACTTAAGAGTGGGTAAGTTAGTGAGACCCTGCAAGACATGTCCAAACACAGAAACAGGGTAGAGCTTTCCCTAGACATGGGGGCAGGGGTATAGCATCAAGCCGAGAACTTGGCTCTGGCAACAGAAACTACTTATTCCCTACTGTGCAGAGCCCCTTGGAGTATGGGACACACACTCACTGGGGGACAGCAATACCCTACATTGAGACCAAATGACCCAAGTCCTCTTCCTACCCAGCAACCTCTGAGTGGGCCATTTGCCCTCAGCCCTGAAGCCACGCGGTGGAGGAGACCAGAGACAAAACCTCCCTCTTCACACTGCACTCACGGCCCAGAAGCAAAAAAGAAAGAAAGAAGTAGGGAAACCATCGATCTGAGTCCCAGGAGGAAAGTGAACCTTACCCAGTGATGTCAAGTTCCCACAGTTCTCCAGCATCACACTTCTGTACAGGGCCTTCTGTGCGGAAGAGAGGCCATCCCACTCTGCCTGGGTGAAGTACACAGCCACGTCCTTGAAGGTCACCACCTCCTAAAACAAGAGGTTCCTACTGCCCCAGAGCCAATTCTCTGACTCAGAGCCAGAGTGTGGGGCACAGGGGACAGTATGAGGGAGAGGTCCTATTAGGAATGGCCAATGAGAACAGGTGAAAGAACTGGGTGTTAGGCCATTAAATGACTATTTCTACAAGGCAAAATCTGGAACTTCTCTCACTATCAGAAGAGTTTCCATTTGCACATAAAACTTAGTGTTATAAGCATGATAAAAACATTTCAGAAACCCTGGAGAGTCACCCATTAATTAACCATCCTAGAGCAAGATTTGTTTGATTTTGTAAATACTCTTTTACTGTTACACCTGCAAGTGGACAATTAGCTTCAATGTCCAGACACCTCCTCACAAGTAACATCTCAGAACCTACCTGTTCCCCCTTCACTGCCCCAGTGCCCAGTCTATCCATGTGTTCCCCACATGCGTTCACTATGCCAAAAACCTCAAGACCACATAACAAGAACAGAGTCATGGTTTGCCATGATGACTGCCTCTCATCTAAGCCCCCATCTGTTGCTTGAAGAAGAGACTGTGCTGCCTGTCTACTAGAACATCCAGCAGAAGAAGCTCAGTGCCACCTGGGGCAGTCTAGTATTCCTGATGGGTCTTCCTGGAGAATATGCTTCTGGAATCAAATTGTACTGGGTAGCTCTTTTAGCTGCTTTGCTTTATACCTCCAAGACAATCTGTAACAACTTTTGCCAAACGAGCCTCATCTTTTTTCCAATAGCCACCCTGTTCCCTCCCTGATGGCCCCAAGTCTACCTCTGCAGAAAGCTCCAACATCTGGTTTAGGCTTTCTATTCACTCCTCAGACTTTAGTATCAAACTTGGTTACCTGAACATGCAGTGAATTTCCTCCCACTTTCCAAAGCCTCAACTGATTCTGCAGATCTCTACCTTCCACTAGTCCCTGCACTACCTCAGACTCTGTGGTGACCCAACATGTCTGACCCACCTTGTAATACCGAACTCACCTATGCCCTAAACTGGCTCCCTTTCTATTCATTGGCACAGTGAGTGAGATTTTGTTTCCCTATCTCAGTTAATAGTACCAATTTCAGCCCAGTCTCCTATACTAGCAAGTTGAGATTTATCCTAGACTAACTTGCACCAGTCACTGCTCACTTCTGACATGCAGTTGGTTATTAAATCCTACCAATTTCATTGCTAAAATATTTCTGGAATCTGACTCTTCTTCATTATGGTGCAATCAGTACACTAGTTCAACAGTTGGGGACACTTAATCAGCTCCAATTCGAGGCAGTCCTGCACTGAATCTATCCTCTGCCAGCACATACAATGATCTACTTAAAATGACAACCTGATCCACTCAACTGAATGACTTAATGAATCACCACTAACTACAACAGTGGTTCTCAGAGTGTGGTCCCCAGAGCAGCAGCCAGAACCTGAGACCTTGTTGGAATGGCAAACTGGTGGGCCCCTGCCAAGAGCAGTGTGTGCTTCGATGATCCCTCACTGAAGGTGATTCTGGTGCACACTAATGTCTGAGAATCCTGGACTAGAAGATAAAATCCGAGCTTAGGAAACGGAGCTGCGCCAGGTGACCAGCAGACAGTGAAGGAAAGGCGTGAGGCTGTACAGGAAGCTCTGCAAACAAAATCCCAGAGAAGGAATGATGAACCCTGAATGAAAGCAATATACAATATGGATCAAGCGGAAGAGATAGCAAGCAGAAGCAATCGGACTTGGTAACTTTCTGGAAGTGGTATCTAGGAAGAAGAGAGTCAACAAGTACTCAGCAACCTAGAAACGAAGTGGTCAGGACTTTGCGATCAGAAGAAGGCAGGGTCTACAAGGAAGACAAGGTACCAGTGAAACAGTCAGGCAGAGGGACCTGCCAGATGTCAGAAATCCAGGACTGGGACTTGGGACATGGTTCACGGAAGTTAAGTTACTGGATAAGTCCCAGGAAGGAAACAGTAAGGCAACACGCAGCACCTCATCAGTCTCAAAAAGTGAAATACAACTCAAAAACTCAATTCCATGGTCCCACAAAGGTAGGGTACTTCATGTTCACTTTATAAGTGAAGTCAATTAAGATTCAAAGAAGTTAAGTGACTGGCTCAAAGGCACCAAGGCTGATGGGAGCCCTACCTTCAGGTGTCCTATCCTGGTGCAGGTTTCGCCGATCACAGCCTGCTGCCTCGCCTTAGCCAGCAGCACTGACCTCAAGGAGGTTATGTTTTCCCTGATTCTGTTTTCCCAAACTTCTTTCCTCGTTTCCCTGTTTTCCCAAACTTCTTTCTTTAGAATAAATGGCATAGCTTTTTTCTTTTCTTCTTCCTACCGCTCCTCTGTCTCTACTCCCCAAGAACCTGTGACCTTGCTGATCACAATCACTCCCACAGAACACTGGATACCTGCACCACTAGTCTGAGTCCTCATTCTCACAGATCCCTCTGTGGGGGGAGCTCCCAAAACTGGGCACCCTCTAGCTCAGCAGAAATCCTCAGAGTCCCGGAGCTGTACTTCTACTTCCCAGGACACTCTCTCCAGCCACTGCTTGCCAGGCTCTGGTTGCTCAGCCCCTCACCATCAGCTTTTCCCCCAGCATCAGTCCTACTGGAGAATCAACAGCGGTCTTCCTACTGCTTTGGCTCTAAGACTTTTGCCGGAATCACCCCTCTCATCCCACATTTCCTTCAAATCAGATCTCTCAAAGGTTGACCGGAGGGATTCACAGCTCACCTGGTGCCAGGCTTCTGGGAGTATGGCTGCCATCACCTGGGCTTCCTCTCAGTGAAGGGCAGGGGCTGAGGGAAGAAGCAAAGAGTAAGTGAGCTTGGCCCAGTCAAAGGCTCTTCTTTAAACCAACAAACCTGCCAATAACAATAGTAACAATGACCACTTAGTAAGTAGTATATAAACATTTCCTCTTCTAATCCATACTGTAACATGAAGTTGAATTCTGAGGAAATAGACTCGGAAAAGAAGTAACTTGCCCTTGGGCAGCAGAGCCTATATTCCCCAATATCAACGCTGCCTGTCCTAGGCAGGACATGAGTACAGGCAGAACATGAGTACGGAAAAAGCAAAACAAGCAAAAGACATCGACAAACTAGAAACAAAACCTAGTAAGAGGAAACCCAGATCTTCATTTTTAAAAATAAAATTTTACTGAGAAATATAAAGGATTAAAAAAATAGAAAGAAATATCACGTTTTTGTGTGAAAAATACATATTCTCTCGTTCAGTTCCCACAATAAGCTTGTCAACTTTTCCTTTTTCCCAAATAAGAAAACAAGGCTAAGATAATAATTTTCTCTACCAAGGTCACTCAGTTAGTGGATGCATGAACTTGGAAACATATTTGCCAGATTCCAAAGGCCATGTTTCCTTTTTAATTACAGTTGACATACAATATTATATTAGTTTCAGGTGTACAACACAGCAATTAGACATTTATATAACTTATGAATATAGTTATTGCAATATTATTTACTATATTCCCTATGCTGTACTTTACATCCCCATGACTGTTTTTACAACTGCCAAAAGGCTATGCTTTTAATAATGACATTAAATCACTTAGCAATCATAATCCGAACAGGACTTCTCTTAGAACCTGATAAAGTAATTCTGAATATAAAAGGATAAGAATAGTCAAGAAAATTCAGGAAAAGAATTTAAGTTTTCCTTTTCTTGGACTTTGAAACAGGAATCTTTTTTGTTCACCCCATTATAGGACCCAGTGATAACCACAAAAGATCCCGAAAGGTCACTTCGAAATAACAAAATGTCTCAGTTATTACTTTAATTACACCATCCCCTACAAACATTTCGTATTCTTCTTAAACAGTCATATTGTACCAAAAAGCCAGCACCTTCCCTACCGAATTCATTGCATGCTGTAATTTCCTGCTAGCCTTATCGTGTCATCCTTCTTAGTTTAGCCCCTCTGGCCTTTCTTCAGTTTCCTGTACTAATTCAGGACCTTTGTAGCTGCTATTGCCTCTGTATGGACCACTCTTCTCCAACCTTAGAACCTTTGTAACTGATACTCTCCGCCTGTAATACTGTCCAGCAGCCTGACCCCTCTTCACCTAGGTAATGCCAGAGCATCCTCTAGGACGAGGTCAGGTTCCTACGTTACACACTCCATTAACAGTGCATTCCCTCTCCTGTACACCACGGCTCCCAGTTTGAGGTGATATATTGATTTGTGCTTTCTTCATTCAACAAACATTTACTGCACATTTATTTCATTCTAGGCCAAGTGTGAGATACAGTTAAGAAAAAAAAAGTTGTGATTCCTTTCATCATTGAGCTTAAAGGAAAGACACACATTAATCAAAGACTCTCATAAATCTCTTTAAGATCACCATTGTGACTAGTGCCAGGGAGGCCGTCCTAGATGGTAAGACTTAATAGGAATTAAGTAGATTAAAAGGAAAAGCTTTATGACAGTGATAGCAAGTGCAAAACATATTTTAGAAGAGATAGGCGAAGATGGCTGTGGCAGGGCGAAGGCGAGTGTGCTGCAAAACAAGGGTGAAGTTACAAGAGACCAAGCCACGCAGGGCCCTGCGCAAGTTACGGACTTAGTCTTCGACCTAAAAGCAACAGGCCACAGCTACCCGATTATGAGCATGTGGGGTGAAATGCTCGGATCTGACTAATATGTAACTTTCCCATTAAACTCAACGCTCCCTCAAGTCGGAATCCAGGCCCAGGCTGTTTCCTGGCTGCATCCCGGGAACCTAGAACAGCGACTGGCATTTAGCTGCTCCATAAACTGTTGTTGGCCCGATGAGCAGAAAGACTTTGTGGCTGTGTCGGGCACACAGCGCATCTCCTCTCTAGCCACAACTTCCATTTTCCGAAGTGGGCGCCGGAGACTGGGGTGAATGAGGGCGGGACTGGCCCGCAGGCTGCTTCTGACTCCCGCGGAAGCAAGGACGAAAACGACAGCCTTCTCTGCGGGTGAAGAGCGCGGTCCTAGCAGACACCCAAGGGGAAAAACCCAACACTCACCTCAGAATAGGTGCAAAGTGCGGCGTGACCGGAAGTGCGTCACATCGCAGCGTCGCCCAATCCTCTCGTGCTTCCTCTCTAGGATGCCAGAGCGCGCAGCTCAGTGGTTCTCTGTCCTTTACAGCCAGCGCGGGGGTTTTTTAACCTGCGGTCCTCAGAGTCCTTGACTAGGGGAAAGTTTATCGTTGTTTTCGCTAATTTCTAACCGAACTTAGCATTTCCTACAATTATGCGTTGGCAACAAACCACAGTAGTATCAGCAGTACCTGTGTCTTTGTCACCAACAGAAATCACAGATATTTTCATATCACATTACAGTTATGCAGATCTCAAAATGCGGGCGACTCTCATCACTAATTCAAAATTATAATCGTTGTTATTAGGCTAACCTTTAGATATTGTCATTTCATCACATTGGTAAAGATGTACAGGTATTACTATATTATAAATGTATTTTTAAAACTACTGAACTATTTTACTATAATTGGTTTTGGAGGGGTGCACAGGTATCCTTACAGTGCAAAAGAGGTCCTTGGATTAAAAATACCGTCTTCCTTAAAGGTAAAAATTCAGTCACTCTAAGAATCCAGGGCTGAGAATTAAAGATACATTAAAGAACAATTTAGGAAGTGGAAACAGTGGACATTAAAAAAAAACTGAATGAGAGTTATGAGAGGGAGTGATCTATTATAGATATAAAGATTAGATGCCCTGATAGATAAAGGTGTCATTAACCGAGATGAAGAATTCAAGAAGAGGAGTTGGTTTCAGGCAGGCAGATTACAGAATTTGGTTTGAGAAATACTGAATACGCACGCACGCACACGCACGCGCGCGCACAAACAAACGTGCTTTATTAAAATATTTACATCTCATACAATTCATCCATTGAAAGTGCACAACTCAGTAGTTTTGGGTATATTCACAGAATTGTGCAACCATCACCACAATCAATTTTAGAATATTTTTGTCATCCCTAAAAGAAACTCTGTAACCATCGGCACTCTCCCTTTTTACCCTACAATAGTTAGAATAAGGTGCCCCTCAAAGATGTCTATGTCTTAATCTCTAGAACCTGTATCTTAGGTTACATGACAAAGAGAAATTAAGATTACAAATGTAACTAAGGCTGCTAACCAGCCGCTATTAAAACAGGAAAATTTCTTGGATTATACAGGTGAGCCCAATGTAATCAAAAGGGTCCTTAAAAGTAGAGGAAGTAATTGAAAGAGAGAGCTACAGAGATAACAGCATGAGAAAAACTTGTCCCAACGTCAGTCGCCGGCTTTGAAGGTAGAAAAAAGCCATGTGCCAAGAAAGGTAGGTGGCCTTTTGAAGCTGGAAAAGGCAACACACTGAATTTAGCTCAGTGAAACCCATTTTGGACTTATGACCTCTAGAACTGTAAGACAATAAGTTAGTGTTGTTTTAAGCCGATGTTTGTGGTCATTTGTTACAGCAGCAACAAAAAAATTAATACATTCCCTCCCCCACCCCCCTTCCAGGCCTTCCTCCCCAAACCTAGATAACCACTAATCTATTTTCTGACTCTATAGACTTGCCTACTCTGGATATTTACACCATATAAATGTCTATTAAATTTAGACATAAAACAAAAAAAATTAGTTTTATTGTTGGTAACTTTATTAGTCTTTAGACTGATGGAAGCCTATCTGTATATTTAATAGCAAGACATGGGCAGCTTAATTTTTTTTTTTTTTTTTTTTTTTTTTTTGCTGGGTGTGGGGGATGGAGGAATGCTGTACCTTTAATCTGCACAGATTATTCCAGTGAGAAATGTTTCAATTATCCCCAGTGAATGGCCACTCCAAGCAGAGAAGCTGTGTGTTCTGAGTTGTACTTTAAGGCACTTTAGACAAACTATACATGGCACTGCCCGTCAGCTGTGGCCATAGCGAGCATAAGCAGATGCCTCCCATCAAGGTTTGGTCTTAAGTGCCCTGTTTCTCCATAATATTTTATTGATTTTTATGCAAGCTTTTTTTTTGTTCAAATCACTTAGAAATTATATCTAATTTTAGCAAGTGAATGGCAGGTGAACATTATTGTAGCTGGTGATTCATGGGAAGAATTATCAGCTAAACAGTACTGTTTACTTCACAGAGTCATACTTTTTTATGAATCAGAGTACATAAAGCTCTGTTCTCTTGATATTTAGAAATAAATTCATCCTAGGACTTTGCAATCTGGGATTCCCTGACCAGGCCTATAATCCAATGTCCTAGGACATTTTGAATAAGAAGCCTAGGCATCTTGAAATCCTTTTTGCTTAAATGGTTAGTGAGTAATTTCCAAGGAACAGATAACTGCTAGGCTTTTAAAAGAGTTCCAGAGCACAAAGAAAGGACAGCCTCCCAACTATTTTTAGTAATCTGGTATAACTCAGTTCCAAAATCTTGAAAAGGATGAAAAAAATTACAGATCACACTTGTGAATATAGATAACAATGTCCTAAACATATTAACAAATACTATCCAGAAGAATTTAAAGAAATTAACAACACTGCATCCAAGAATGAGAAAAATTAATTATATAAATAGGTTAAAAAAAAAAAAAAGGAACAGCATCTTGAAAGATCTAAAATAATATACTATGGCTATGCCACCCCTGAGCGTGCCCAATCTTGTCTGATCTTGGAAGCTAAGCATAGTCGGGCCTGGTTAGTGGGAGACCACCTAGGAAGACCAGGTGCTGTAGGCATTAAAATAAACAAGCTAATAGACAGACAAACAAATAAATTTAAAAGAAATAGAACAAAAAAAAAATCATCAGATTTGTGTGGAAACACAAAAGACTACAAATAGCCTAAGCAGTCCTGAGAAAAAACAACGAGGCTGGACATATCACTCTGCCTGACTTCAAATTATAGTACAAAGTGACAATAATCAAAACAGCATGGTATTGGCAGAAAAACAAACACACATGCCAATGGAACAGAATCAAGAGTCCAGAAGTAAACCCCTTCATTTATGGGCAAATAATTTTCGACAGAAGAGCCAAAAACACACAATAGAGAAAGGAAAGCCTCTTCAATAAATGGTACTGGGAAAACTGGAAAGCCACACACAAAAGAATGAAAATAGACTGCTGTCTATCACCACACACGAAAATTAACTCGAAGTGGATTAAGGACCTGAATATAAGACCTGAAACAATAAATTGCATAGAAGAAAACATAGGTGCCAAACTCATGGACCTTGGATTTAGAGAGGATTTTATCAATTTGACCTCAAAGGCAAGAGAAATAAAAGTAAAAATAAATGAATGGGAAGACATCAAAATAAAAAGCAATGCACAGCAAAAGAAACCATTAACAAGGCAAAGAGGCAACCTTCTGAATGAGAGAATATATTCGCAAACAATCCTATTAAAAAATGGGCAGAGGACCTGAACAGACACTTCTCCCAAGAAGACATACAAATGGCCAACAGACATATGAAGATGCTCAACTTCACTAGCTATTAGGGAAAGGCAAATCAAAACTACAATGAGATGCCATCTCGCATCTTTTAGAATGGCTGTCATCAACAGGACAAGTAATAACAAGTTTTGGAGAGGTTGTGGGACTGCAAATTGGTACAGCCACTATAGAAAACAGTATGAAGATTCCTCAAAAAACTAAGAATTGATCCAGCAATCCCTCTTCTGGATATTTACCCAAAAAACCTGAAAATATTTATCTGCAAAGATATGTGCACCCCAATGTTCATAGCAGCATTATTCACGGTGACCAGGACATAGAAGTAACAAAAGTGTCCTACAATAGATGACTGGATAAAGAAGATGTGGTACATATATACAATGGAATATTACTCAACCATAAGAAAAAATGAAATACTGCCGTCTGCGACAACATGGATGGATCTTGAGATAATCATGCTAAGCAAACTAAGACAGAAAAAGCTGAAAATCATATGATTTCACTCGTATGTGGGATATAAAACTGAAAGCAACAAACGTGACAAACGAATAGAGACTCATGGACACGGACTGTGGATTAGTAGTTACTAAAGGGGAGGGGTGAGGGAGGAGGTAGATAGGGATAAAAGGGGTCAATATTTGGTGACGGAAGGAAATCTAACTTTGGGTGGTGACACACAATGCAATATACATACGACATACTGTTGAACTGTACACTTGAAACTTATTTGATTTTATTAATCGATGTCACACCAATACTTTTTAATTAAAAAAAAGACTTTGGGAATAATAACTTTTGTGTTACGTGGGATTTCTAGTACTAAACGGTGGGTTGGGAAGCTCAGAAACAACGGACACTGGGGCAGCCTTAGTTAAAGCCTTAGCCTTCGGTGAAGGAACCCAGGGAGCTAGCTGTTCAGTCTGTCAGGGCCAGGAGGTTTCCTGTGCCAAAAGTGTGGACAGCTCCTTAGGAGGTGGGAATCATCTGGACTCCTCACCTCTCCTCCTCTCCTGCCATCAGCACCATATACAGATACTTCCCTGATGCTCTCCAGCCCTGGGCTGCTCTTTCCAGCTCAGATTTGCATAGGGAAGCCTGCAGTTGGGAGACCTCCAGTGAGAAGCAAGGTCTGAGGGGAGACCTGGAGGCAGGAACTGCTGCACAGGGACACCCTTCACCCAGAGCATGGATGCTGGCACCCTCCCTTCACCTTGGCCCCACCCGTTATTGGGTGCGAGGGGTGTAGAATGAATCTTAAACAAGAGAAAACCAAGGTTCAGGGAGTTTTAATAAGGCCACAGCAATCAATTTCTGGCATGGGGTGGGAGGATGAACAATTTTCGAACACTTGAAGAGCCTGCCCCTGCCCTGAATATTAAATAAGCACTCCTGAGCATCAGCTACTTTTGCACAGCACGTTGGCGACATCTAGCGTTAGCAGGATAAATCTCAGCTAGCTCTGCAATTTAACTGAAATTTAGAGAAACAGGGACTTGGTATTTCCCCTCTTCTCAGGATTCTCACCTCGGCCTCCTGAAGGGCCAAGAAATTTTTTGTTTTTCTAATTTGTAATTTGCCTTTTAACTTTCTTAACAACTGCTTCTTTATTTTTCATGTTATTAAT